ATCTATCTATCTATCTGTCACACACATACACACACACACACACACACACACACACACACACACACACACACACATATACACACACTCTCTCACTCTCTCTCCCACACCAGCACCACAATAAATAAGACGTAATCAGCGTTAAACAGCATCCTTCTATCTAATTATGTAGTGCCGAAACCGGCTCCACGGCCGACACCGAAACCGGTTCCAGTGAAGAAACCGGTCATCATTAGAACCGCCACACCGGAAGAGGAAGGTACACAGCCGCAGAGGGAGCTTCTCACAGCTCGTCTTTTTTACCATTCGACAATTTAATAATCCATTTGGTGGTTGTTGTTGTGGTTGTTGTTGTTATCGCTTTCTCTAGTCGTCTATTCGGCTTCTTGTGAAACGCGTGCTATCGGAAATAACCGCTTTTTCCTCTTTTTAATTCGCCCTTTTTGTGTTTGAAGAGTTTGGTGTCCAATATCATGCCAAACCCATCAATGAAGACACTGGTGTCTTTAATTAAACACTGAGTCTTGTTGATTAGTGTTTCTTCCGCTCTTGCCTCACTTTCGTTTGATCCTTTCCTTCCATTGTTGCAATTGTTAACAACATCCATTCATGAGGTGTGCGAAGAAAATGAGTTATTTCTCACAATCCAAGGATGGAGATATCGGCTGAAAATGGACACTAGGGTTAGATTTATACAGACTTTCATTCGATACCTTTTTCTTTACGTCTATCTTGTCTTTTATCACTCCATACTTACAAATTGTACAAACTCCATCTATGAAGTTGAAGTATTAATCTCCATAAGGCTAAAATCTAGAAGCAACTCATTTTGTCAGCACACCTCACATTTATGTTTCCAAGCACGAACTTTAAATCTGCAGCTTAAACATTAACTCAGTGCTTGTCAACCTTGGCGAGGCGATATCGCTCCCTAGCGGGTGGTGGGAATCACAAGGGAAGTGACAGGGTATGATTTAATGCCCGCTTGGAAAAACATATAGGTGGGCAGTAGAACACCATCTTTAGCCTCTTTTAAGTCGCAAAAGTGGGCTCTGGATATTTAAAAAAGTTGACAAGCACTGCCTTAACTAATGAAACGTACAGAATGTATACATGTACTAATATTACGGTGTACACTTATACGACCCCCTCCAGATTATGTATAATCAGTCGACTGATAGACAGAAATGTGGTGATACCCCCTTAAGTTGCTGCCAGTCTAGCACAGCCTCACTCAAACTGTAACGTCAAAAAGTTTGTCACCAGTAAAGAAGAACACGACTACGGGGGAACTGTTCTTAAATTAGTAAAATCTAATAAGAAAATTTGAAAAATAATCCTATAGTTAAAGGTATTTTCTGGTGAAAACGGAACTGCCACAAAGTGGAAATCGTGAAAAACCTAATTTTAAAAGCTTGTAGACTCACAGCTTCATTTCTGTTCGATTTAAAAAAATCTCTGTTTTGTTGTTGTTGCTGTTGTTGTCGTCGTTGTTGTTGTTATTGTTGTTGCTGCTGCTGCTGCTGGTGGTGCTGCTGCTAGTGCTGGTGCTGCTGCTGCTGTTGATGTTTTGCCTGATTTCCTACTGAGCTATCAAAAATGATAAACCAACAGTCAAACAGAAATTAAGCTATGAGTCTGCAAGCATTTAAAATTGACATCCTCATATCTTTCATAATATATTTGACGTAGCCCGTTTTCTTTCCACGTGGACTCCTCGTCATGGGTATCTGTATAGTAACAATAACCATGGCGTCATTGGCTCCAAAGGGAAAGAAAAGAAGAAGAACCTTACAGTAGCCCCCCCCCCCCCCTCTAAAAAAATGAAGAAGACGAAAAAAAACCCAATAACAACAAAAAACAAAAACAGACACAAAAACTACGTACCGCTTTACACATTGTACATGTCGTTGAATAAGTGTACACTGCTATCTGCTAATACATGTATTAATGTCTTATTGTTGTTCTGTGTTACATTGTTCTGCCTGTTTTCAGCTGTTCTCTAACTGACACACAACTGACTGAATTAACACTTTGAGATTATCACATAACTGATAACTGATCACTTTTGACTGACACGAGGGATTTTCATTTTTTGTGTCTTATCCTGACACCTTTGCTGACTCTTTTATCGAGTTCAATACATTTTTCCTTCTATCAATCATTTATGTACCAAAATGCTCTTCCTTGCTGATTTGCTCTCTTTATATCGGTATTACAGTAACAATTCTCTCTTACTACGTTGTCATTGTACTAATTTGCTTGTGCATCTTGGCTCAAGAGAAAGAGAATTGGTTTATTGTTGTTTGTGTTGGTTTTTGTTATTCCTTTTGAAAAAAAAGGCTTTAAAATGTTTAAGAAATTTAGAATTTAGGTTCTGCATGAATTTATATCCGTCAAAGTCATTTTCCCAAATACATGAACGTAGTCGAGTAAAAGTAAACACTGCTGATCTGTCTACCTATCTAAGTTATGCCGTTTAAGTCTATTTCATTACATTTCTATATAGCACGTGCAGGCTGTTTGTCTTTTCCTCTCACATCAAGAACGTTCGTTGTGTAATTCTATTATTCGCCCATATCATCACGTAGGAGCGCTTGTTGTTGGTGTTGACAGCACTGCTTCAACAAATTTTCGCAAAAAAAAAGAAATTCTGCTTCTGTCAGCTTCCCCAGTGTACGCTTTCACGTATTATGATATTGATTATGCAAATGTGATGTTCTTAAGGTGAACTAGGTACAGCTGAAATGAAAATTTTTGTTTGGGCTCTAAGTTAAGTGTACTGGGATTCCCAATAACCAATATGAGTCAAGAAACAAAAGCACACTATCCCTATATGATTTCACTGTCAATAAAAAAAAAAAATTTGATGCAAAGGGTTCGACAGACCAAAATTTGCGCAAATTGTTGGCAGGGATTCTGAAAAAGATTGAATTGATACATCCTTGATATTGTCACACAGAGTTTGTGTATATACAACCTGCAACGTACTAAAGATTTACTTTCTTAAGTCTCATACTTTTCTTGTAACTGCCCTTTTAGTGTCATATACGATACTT